GTCAATCACAATTCGAAAAAACTGGTCTTGAACGGGACTAGGGAAATCAAGGTGAATTCTCTCCCATGGCTTAGAGGCTGGCATCCAGGGTTGGATGAATTTGCTTGGATGTTTCGCTGCTGATGCATATTTTCTACATGTGGCGACACAATCGTGGATAGCGTTGTCCCTAAAAGAAGGCCAATATACGTAACTTCTGGCTAAAGCTTTCATCCGGACAATGTTGGTGCAAATATATTAATAACTTTGTCATTGAGGAAGTCCTAAAGAATGGTCTGCATAATTCGTTAAACGCGATGGTGTTGTGCTCCTCCCACGTAGCCGAGCTGTTGACTTGGACTACACTGATGATATCGTCTTGCTGGGTGACGGTCCACAGGCCGTCCAACTTCCACTCAACCACTTGGCGATTGAAGCGTCAAAATATGAGATGACTTTCTCCATCCAAGTGCTAACCTCTTTTCCAAGACTTTCAGATGCCTGTACCCGCACTCACTCTTGGTGGTGAGACACGAGGTTACGGAGAGTTTTGCCTACCTAGGTAGTTGCACCACAGCCAATGGAGCTATTGGAGACCAGATTTCGTTGCGTATCTCAAGAGCTCGCCTCGCTTTCTCTAAGCTGAGGCACTTGTGGCGCCGCCATGGCGTGCGTATATCCATCAAAGGATGGGGTTGTTGTGCGACTGTCCGCGCTGTTCGGTTGCGAGACTTGGCCTGTTCGTATCGCTTATCTGCGCCGTCTCTCTATCTTTGAGCACCGTTGCTTGCTGTCGATTGCCCATGTGTGGCCGTTGCACCACGTAACCAATGGGAACGTTATACAGCGTGGCTTGGGTGGAGGCAGCCATTCGCTGGAGGTGCTCGTACCGCTTCGTCAGCTGCGGTGTCTTGCACACGTACTGCGTATGCCCGGTCATCGTCTTCCGTGTCGCGCGTTCTTCGCGTTTGCTGGACAGGCGTAGTGGACAACCTACAACATGGAGAAGCCACACCAGAATTGTCGAGTGACGCATCACTCCCTCCCCAGGGTTTTCACCCAATGTAACTAATACATGTATGCTGCTATGGGCTGTGCAATGAACACATCTGATAGAGCCATGTTACACAATAAAAGGGCAGTGGTACTCCCCTCGCGCAATCTGGGATTTTTGATACTGTTATACAGTCGCAAGTATTATGACTACCACTTTCTGTGGGTATTTGTTTACTGTGTAACCAGTCGATTGTCAGAACTGAGCGTGTACTGCGGACGTACGTCCTTACTGAATATTTATGTTCGCTTTTATAGTTCTTTTTGAGCGTTCTTACGAAGGACAAAACGGATAGTTCCATTTCAGCAAAGATAAAGGCATCCACTCTTAAGGAAATGGTATCAGTGATTTGACGATGTTAAGTAGGGACGGTTCGCTAACATTGGCGCAAAATTTCAGAGTAGGAAGAACACAAATCCATGTAACATAAACGAGGAAAGCCGTTTTTAAATGACTTGGGGAACCACACACCAAGACTGAAAAGAAAGAATGATAGAAAAGTGGGTAACGAAGACATGAACGCATCTTGCTGGAAATAGTGCCAGTCAGCACTGAAGAGAAAATCCCATTATCTGGACACGTGATTCAAGAACGAGCATTACACTTCGCAAAAGAATTGCAAAACACAGACTTTACATTGTCAAACAGTTGGCTACAGGCTTTCATCAGTAGACGATCTGGTGTTTTTAAGCAATCGGGCGAAAGCGGTGACTCAGATATGTGTGCTGCATCCGACTAGACAGAAAAATTACCCATATTATGTTCCGGCTACACAGCTCAAGACATTTTTAATTCACATGAAAAGGCTTTGCTATTCAAAACGACGTCGGTTAAAGGCTTTGTGTAAAAGGATAGAAATGCGCAGGTGGGAAAGGAAGCAAGGCATGTATCACAGTTATGCTGTGCACTACCACATTGGGGGAGCGAGAACCGGCTGCAGTGATTTGGAAATCAGCCAATACTCGAATTTTAGAAATATCAACATGTAAAACTACCGGCAGTTTACGAGGATAATAAAAAAGTATGGATGACTGCAGCTATTTCCGAAGATTTAACAGCAAAATACAGAAAAACGTAACATCCTAAATTCTCTCGATAAAGCCGTTGCCCTCCCTAATTCCACTTACTTAATATCCAATTGCAGTTCCTGACACCCAACACGACTGTGTTACTTCAACCCTACGACCAGGGTGTCATTCAGACGCTTAAATCGAAGTTTAGGAAGAAAACAGCTCCATCTTATAACGATCAAAGAATCCCATAAAGATATGTCCGGAACTGAATTCATAAAACGAGCAAATTTATTAGACATCGTGTTCTACATAACTTCTACCTGGAAGTAGGTGCAGAACTCAACCATCTCTGTTTTTAAGGCGGGGTTTCCCTCTACTGCAGAAATAGATTTTGAGAGAACAATGTAAACTTGATCTGAGACAAATTTACAGATTGTGCCTCGTTCAAACGCAATTGCTATGGATACTCTCTCAGAGGAAGTGTTTAGACGCAAACTGACTGACAGTCATCTGGTGGGTTCTTATTTCCAAACATGTCACACAACAGAAATAAACTTGGACCTGCCAACCACATCAAATTTAGCAGCCGAGGATGTGAATACTGAATCAGACTGCCAGGAGGAACAGGATTCTACGAACGTTCTGAAAACGTATACATTCACAGACGCACAGGGTGAAGTTGATATTCCGCGCTCCTACGCAATACATAACGGACACACTGGCATGCTTGCACTTCTTCTGGACGTGAGAGAAAAACTAAATTCCTTTCGTTTCAATTTTCAAGCAACAGAACACTACGTTTATGTTTTTTCATCTGGTGGAAAAAGATTTTGACAATAGAAATGTGTGGTTTTTTTGAATTTTGTGGATTTCGACGATTTGCTAGTCAGTTTCTAAACTGTTGACTCACAATGTGTGAGATTATCGCATTATTATTACTCATCTATCCCATATTATGCACTACTACTAAGATTGCAAATGTCGGGGGGCCTTGATATTACGTTCGTGACAAACAACTTCGCCTGTGTTCTGCATTTAATGTCATAGTGATTTACGCGCAGATTTCCATTTCTGACAACCTAACTATGGGAAGCGGGGTTTTCTGCAGTTTCAACAACCAAAACAAAGCAACCAAATTAACTGGACCTAGACAGCACACATCAAGCGTCATTGTCTCCTATTTCCCCCAGATGGAGCAGTCTTGCTACAGCGAAACACGCTCATAGTTGTCCGTAATTTAGCGTTCTAGTGAGTTAACGTACTGTATCACTTTATATCTATTTTTTGGTGTAATTGGATTTTATTTTCAAGGCATGTTCAATCACGATTGCATTACAGTTGTTCGCTCAAAACATTCTAAACGTTCACCAAACCCCCTCAGCGGGCCGGGGTACAATTATCGAACGCCGACCGGTCCACGGCGATACAAAGGTTGGACACAAGTGCCGTAGAGTGCACCGGCTCGCAATACCCCCATATTTCACGAGACCAGCTGTTTGAAATGTAATCCTTTCGCATCAAAATATTGCATGTCTGCGCACTTCCGGAACAAGGAGGAAAGTAATGTAATTCCCCGTTTAAGATATCATTTGAAAGAAAATTTCAAGGCTGCAATCAAACATCTATCATATATCTCCTTCATCCCTCCATTGGTGATTATATCATTCCATCCGGGAGCTGTCCTGTCTACCTCGATCAGATTTGACCTGTGTGATTCGTAGGGGGCGAATTGTTTGGAATATGATTACCTTCTACCCCGCGTTCAACTTAGACTTGTGGATCAGTCACAAAAGTGATATTTCATCGCATAAAGAAGGAAGTTACGTTTAGTGATTGGTATCCCTTCTGTTGCGACGGAGATCGTTCCGCTCCTTATGTTACGGACAACTTGACTTCGAAGTAGAACGGTAGCTTCCACTGCGCCTTCAACTATTCGACCGAACTAGCCTGAATACCCACCAAAACGAGGCAACCTATCTGTGCCTCTCGTTTAAAGCACCATTTTAGTACCAAGCCAATATTGTGCGCTGTTGTCCTGCGTGCATCACTTGCGCTATAGCCTCAGACATCTCCTTTGCTCACATACAAAAGGGGCTTGACTACACTTCAGGCTTATACCCGGTGCTCTGAGCGCACGCGTTTCCCTTCTTTCAGGGACTGTGCGCGCTCCAATGGATGTCTCAGACACCTTCATTGTCCAGTGAGGACGCGCGACACACTGTGCACCGGCTGAGCTCTGTTTAGTGAAGTCTTAGTTGCCGTCTATTTGAGTTGGACCACGCTTGTCTCACCTAAGTCTCACAGTTTTCCTACCCACCTTCGAAAGCGTGAGTATTCTGCGCGTAACTGTGTTCAGTCTCTAGGCTATATCGAATTCTATTGGCTGGTAGCCTCTGCCCACACAGTGCTACGTGGATGCAAGTGCGAAGATTATTGGATGATAGCCTTTGCATTAAGGAGGAGAGATTCTGCGCTAAGTATGTAGGCGATTGCGTTAAGGATGTTAGCAAGTGAGAAATGGTATAGTGTTCCAGTGAGTCGTAGAAACGTACAGACCGCCGTATCCGCACAATAACTTGTTCATGACGTTAGACATGTGGTCGTTTTCGGAAATTAATGAAATTTGTGAATGTGATTACTTCTTTGCTCACTTTAGCTGGGTCACTCGGCTCCATGTTCGATTCCATACCTCTGTCTTCTCTGAGGTATCACAAATGACGTTCTCGATCGTATGGTGGCTCATTGTGTGTTGTGCGTAGCAGCAATAGTGTCTGCGGAATGTGACGCATTCGACGTGCATTTTGATAATCTAGCGGTTTTCGAATTTTTTCACTTCTTGTTTCCAATCTATTAATTATTTCATCGCCTGAGCTCCAGTATTCTTTAGTCCCTTTAATTCTGTCCCACTATTCTCTCTTGTCTGCTTTATTTTTGATACTGCTTGTATTTTACAGCTTACTCATACCGCATTGTCAACGGTACCATCCAAATCTTTGGCTTTTGGGACCTCTAAAGGACCCGAGTGTGGAACGCGAAAACTTCTTCTCCGACCTGCGTTATCTCCAGTCCTCTATGCGTCATAACCTTGAAAGTAGGCTTTCCAGATGAGCTTTGAATACATCCTTACAATATATCCACCTCGTTTATTCTCCTCCACCTAGTGTATCATGTATGTGTTATCCCTTTGTATATCGGTATGGGGCTCGAAACCAGTTCACCATTTCCTTAGCATTTTTCCGACTGCTGTGTGTCGTTTCACGCATACTCCACATTGAGTTCCACTTTTTTATTGACCATCATCACGGTTTTCATTCGGGATAACAGCTGAGGTGTTTTCCATCTCATGATACGTAAACCCAACAATTTTCATGCCTCGTTAACGGTGCTAGCGGACATCACCATCACATCCCGAACCTCAATTAGCATACATGCTCTTGTGCTTGCATGTGTTGGGCAACACCCTTACTGATCCTCTTCCCTAATTATATTACTCTTGACACTTAATTTTCCGCGTAAAACATCTTTGTGTAACCGTTGATTCATTACAACACCCATGGATTGCGACATGAGATCTCCACCTAGACCACGACCTGCATTGAAATGAACTCACTCGGCTCAATCACTGGGTCCGCGTCTGTATCCAATGCATGCGTGCAACGTGCTACCTGTTCGCAACACTGCACTTCCCGACCGGTTTCGTATTCGTCCGTTGGCGATACTGCCTCAACTCATTCAGCACTGATCCATCAACGGTTTTGATCAGCGTCTCTGTGGCGTAGGGGGTAAAGGAATTACCGTACCGAACATGTTGCAAAATGCTTGGAGCCGATCGACAGCTCATAATTCCAAAGGAGGTTTGAAAAACACAGGTTTGTATTGCTTGTGGGCAATTTCGCTTTTGACACAAAACCTTCAGACCGAGCGAACCAGTGGATGATTGGTATAGAATAGCCGCCAAGGAATGAGTTTGAATACAGAGCTCTGTTGAGGGATTCGGCGGTAGCGATCTGCGCCATAAATACATATCGGCTTGGATAACGTTTAGATCCTTATGAGGGGCTCACGATCGACACCCCGAAGACAGACAGCTGAGGCGATTAAGATTAGCAAGATGAAAAGCTGCTTGAATGGTATGCACGGAATGGAGCTTTCGAATGTGTGTGGCGGGTTGTCTTAACCCTACCGATCTGAGGAGCGTCGGTGGACGGACTCGGGGCAGAGAATGAACGCCAAATCAACTCCACACCCATCACACCAGCAGGGGCTTACTTGTGTGACCTTATGATGCGCGGACCACTTCGGACCGTTCTATGCACCACTTGAAGCGACACTCTGATGTGTAACGCAATTCACCTTCTACCCACATCCCAGTTGTCTCCAATCCCTGTACGCTTTACAGTCCTGCATCGAGTCTCAGTTCTACCATCACTACTTGACGATTTCAAACAGCATGAAACCGATCATAGGTTTCAGTGATGCGAGCGAGCACCACCTGACAATTCACTGTCCTTTTACGGCGCAACACCAGTCGTGCTCATTGTTGCAATGGATTTGTGAGATGGCGCAAAACGTGGATAGCTACCAGATGGTTACCAACTCAATTGGTTACTCTTACCGAATTCGTATGCCACAAGTCTGAGCTACTTACGAGCTTTTTGTGTACCTTAAACAATACGGCTGCCATCCACACCGAACTATGAGTTGGCTATATTTCCATTGATGATAATTGCTTCGGATAGATAGTTGCCATTTTGCATAGTTTTGTAGGTTGCTTAGTTTCAACGAACTTAAAGCTTATGTTCAAATTCCCATTGTTTCCGATATTCAAAGCTTTCTGACGGTCACGCTTTTCTCCTCGTGCGATAATTGTTTCTTTCCATTGTGATTCCTGCTTTATCATATTTACAACGACACTCATTAATCACTTACGGGCTCATCTTAGACATAGGAGATCCATTTCCCCTGTCACGTTGTCTGTTAGGTATATATTTTCATTAGTGCTGTTATTGTTGTGCATCGAATCTTATCATTCTGGTCATCTTTTTTCTTCAGTTGATTGCCCCGACCTGGAAAATTATAAAAACACCATTTCGGCTGAAGAGGAAATTGCGTTCACCGTGAGTTTAAGCATTGTTTCACTACTGATTGCGCGGTAACTCGGCAAATAATTAAATTTATCCTCAGCTTCCACTTTTATGATGGTTTACCTGCCTACGGATCAAAGGGTGGTAAACGCGGCCTGGTCATTTCCTTACTCACCATCCATTTGACCGAATAATTGATGAATCGCCCCCAGTGGTCGTATTATTACACACCATTTGTGTCCACGAGCGTGCAAAAAGCGCATACTTATAATTTCTGACGAATGACGCTTCATCTACTCCCTACTGGCGCATATCGTGTTGGGGTAACCCTTTTTTGCTACATTCTGAGGTTATTCCGAATCGATAAATGTTAAACTCAACTTTGCAATCTGCTGGCCCCGGCGAACAATTTGTCTGCTGTATTGTACTCTTACCACGCTAGCGTTGCCATGGCAACTAAGTGCTCGCAGTTGATGCTGGCTCATCTAGAAAGTCGATTTTCTCTAATCGCAAACTCGAGAACGAATTGTATCTATTCAATCATTCTGGAGTGCAGAACTGTTTTCGAATTATTTACTATTGCAGAGGAGTAGTTGGGGTGTTCAATGGTGTAGGTAGAAATTCGTCCCATCTAGACTCACTCAGACAGCCATCACACGCCCGGAACAACACTGCACGTGCGTTTCATCCTTTCGGGAATCATAAGCAGTGCTCATTCCATTTGACCCTGGTAGCGCTCGAACCCGCAACTCGACTGTTGCCAGTCCTTTGTCGAGACCACTGAGCTACGGAGGACAGCAACGACCATCGTGAATAAGTTAAAAGGTGTGATATAGCGCCTGGCGTGTGACGACTGTCTGAGTGAGTCTAGTTGCGACGAGTATCTACCTATACCATTCAACTCCCCCTACTAATCCACTTTAGTCAGTACACAGACAAACTGCTTATAATGGCTCAAGTTTGGTAAGTTCGTCGCTTTGTAAAGGGCAACCCTGTCCTCTGCACAGCATTAATGTGCAAGTTAGTGGATGGTGAGCGGCGCTGTATCACATCTGGCAGCTTATTTATGACGGTCGTTTCCGCTTCCCGTAGCTCAGTGGTCTTAATCGCAGGCTGGCGACAGTCGAGTTGGTGCTTCGAGCCCTACAAGGGTCACATGGAATTCGCACTGCTGATGACTCCCGAAAGAAAGAAACGCGCGTACAGTGCTTTTCCGGGCGTGTGGTGACTGTCTGAGCGATGAATTTCTACCTATTTTCTATTAATAAAGTTATTATCATCGCAGCGAACCTATTTTCTTATCATTTTATTGTCCATCGGTCGCTGCATCATTACATGACACCTGATACAGTCAGAGCCATTGATTACCTCTGTATCGGTGGTTATGTTGCATCTTGTAATCGATACAAACATGAGGATACTATTGCTGTCAAAAATAGCCGCGTTTGTTTTCAACCTGTCAGTTAATTTACGAGAAAGCGTTACTTCATCTTTGTGGATAAATCAAATAAGTTGCGAAGCCAAAGCGAAGCAACCATCCATTGAAGGCATCAAGGAGCCAGTCATCTTTAACCACTGGAGCCAACGAAGTGTCGCTCGTTAGTCAAACAGTGCTACTGCTGGCCAGTTAAGCTTTGACAAGAAAGCTAATGTGCTTCGCTTCGCCTTCTGCTTGCTGAAATCGCACCGCTCACCTCGGCTGCGTCACGCGCCTCGCATGCTTTTCAATTAGAATTGCTTGCCAACACTTGGTATGTTTCGGTGATTCCCCAACAGGTAGTGTGGCTTTATCGTATTAATAAATCGATTGACAGTCATGACTAGATTAACACGTATTCTTTCTTGTTGGGGCATTGATCTGTTGGATCCACTGGTCATCCGGCACCTTAACTGGGATGGTGCCTTTGCATTTATCCTGTTAACTTCTTTCCTAACCATTTCCACTAGCTTTTGTTTACTCACGTTTTCCTCTTTGCTTTCTCACTTTTATCACTTTTGTTTTGTTATCATGGCGATATTTGTGATTTAGATAATTCGAAGTGAATGCATTTTAACGGTACGCATTTAGACACGTGCAGCTTTTGCTACTTTTCACATGTTCGTCATCCCCATTCACCAGTTCATCGTTTTGTCAAGGGTACCCTTTTTCAGCTAGACTTTCGAGGGTAATCTAGAACTTGCATGAACAAATTGCTATCCGATAACTTTTCGTCCTAACCCATGTCGTCACGGATTCCACCACATCAGCGGTCGAAAGCTATACATATCATTGCGCAGTCGCTCACTTACTGTCATTCATTCCTTACCTCTAATTTCTTTTCCTACGTCTCCACATTCCATTTGTAATTGCTTTTTTTCGTTTTGCTTCATCGCCCTTTTTTACTCATCATGGAGTGTAAGCTGTCTCAGCACGATCTGCCAGTCTTGCGTGATGGTGTGGCACTTGTCATGCTGAGTTGCAATGAACCGCGTCACTAGTTTTCAAACCGCTAGTTTACTAAGATTGCCACTGGAATGTCCATTTTTGTCTCATGCAACCAGTCGCTCCTCGTTGCCCTTTTGCAATTGCAAACGGGGCCAGCCCTTTGTGGTCGATTCCTTCACCGACTTCAGTGGTGCTCGACTAGCGTTACAACTGTCGTCGTTATGTGCCGATATCAATTCCGCTGTTGTCACCCAACCCTTTACTCACATCATTTCGGTCTTGTGATTACTAATAACATACTGGCGGTAGGACCGTGTTCCTGTTACGAGATCTTCTCTTAGGCACTCAATGTCGACAACTTCGATCGCATATTCATTACTTGGTTTCACCTCATGTTAGTTGTTGGGGCCTCTGTTTCCTTTTTTACACAACTGCCTACCCTGTGTATTACTTTAGTTTTTTCTATCCGCTTGACTTAAATGATGATTAGACGTTTATGCCACGTTTCTTGGCGTGTTCTTCCATGTTGATTCCAAGCTGGTTTCGTTCGCGGGAAATTAATAACGTGATACACCCTTTGCTGTCTGTCTAGTCTAGGTGTATTCAAAACGAATGGGAACTTCATTAAGGTATCTGTGAAGTCATGCTCAACATCCCATCGAGTGAAGCTGCATTTCAGGCTAGTCGTGATTACTCTCGTTCACGATATTGATCATCATCGCTCGAAATATGCTGCTTAACCTTGACTCAGCGTGTATCCGTTACTGCTTTACGGGTCTGATCTCGGGGAATTCTTTCCCATTCAACACTTCTCTGTCTGGGTCACTTCAGTACACCTTTGTTCGTACGAATCAAGTATGAACATTTTGCTAGCAACACCGTGCTCTGCGATCGGCTTTGCCGTCGTCTAAACTTAGCTGGTGGAGTTACAGAGAACTGGGCCTCAAACCCGAGACGTATTGGTTACCAGTACATACCCTCATCATTAAAGTTACTCAACTCTGCGAGCGGCGCTTTTCGTAACCCTTGCGAAACTTTTTGGATTGTAGGTATGTTCTGTGTGTAGATTTCGAGTTTAATCTTTGTTTACTTGAAAATCAGCTTTTGTCATTTAAAGCGCCGAGAAACAATAGAACAATGGATTTTTGTGGGTAGGAAAGCTGAAGCCTAACTGGTGCCTTGGGATGGTCATGGTGAATAATGCAACTTATGGAAATTGTGTCCGCAAAAGTAAGTTCACGCCGTGGACTCACCGAGGTCTAGGTATCAAAAACTGTAAATCCACTGTACGTCGACCAATCAGCCTCTGTGACCGGCCTCGAAATTAACATCAGTAAGGCGAAGTACTTCGCATCGTCAGCCACCCAGTCTGCCCCGTCGCTCTCCTTACCTGGACAGCTCATCCAGTCTGTTCCTGAATTCAAGTACCTTGGATCCACTATTCTCATCAATCGTTAGGCTACATCCCGAAATCCGGTATCGTACTGAGAGCGCCAGAACAGCCCTTACACTGAGGAACGCGTTGTGCCGAAGGCCGGAAATTAGTCTGAGAACGAACATCAGCAACCATTCGTGCTACTTTACTCTGTGTTGGCGAAACATGGCCGTTGCGATCCGAAGACACTCGAAAGCTGGGAGTCGTCGACCATTTATGTTTGACTTATTTTGAAAACGAAGTTCGTAAACGCTGTTTCGGTCTTCCGAAGCTCTCAGCGCTTATCCAACGCCGCAGACTTTAGTGGTTCCGTTACGTCCTTTACAGACCAGACACTGACTTCACTAGGGCCGTGGTTTCACCCTCGCCTTGTTAGGGTGGTGTCGCCGTGGTATATATATATATATATATATATATATATATATATATATACAAGTCTGTAAACAAACAAACGTGCCATCCGAACCATGGTAGTAAGTACAGGAGAATATAATGTTCAACGAGGAGAGAGAGAGTAAAACGATAGAAAAATGGGATTTCTTCAGTTTCACACACGCCGTTTTTAGTTTTTTTAGTTTTCATGTTTTGTTCAAAATTAACGAACGTATGGTAGAACAGCACTGACTCCTATTGCGGGCTATAGCCTCCTAAACTTCCAACTATTGGGAATCCGCTACACGTGGTTCCCAGCCTGGGAGACACACGGATTCAACTGACGCTAGACACGAAGTTAGAATCTTCATGCTCCTTTTCCAAGTCATCGGTTGTCCGCCGCGGCTCTTTCTCTATTCGCGTCCACGAAGTGCAAATAATACGCGACGTAGGCCGGCATGCGCAGTAGCTGACCGAGCCAACGCAAGCGGTGCTGCATGTGTATGCTCTGGAGACAAGGACTGTCCGCTCCCATTACTCAGCTTCTAATTTCTGCGTTGCTCACATGGTGCTGCCACTATACGCGAGCAATCAAACACAAGCAGCGGTTGTCGAAAGTGGACAATTGTCTCAAATCTTCCGATTGAACAGGCCAGATCTCGCAGCCATACAGTAGGACAGCACGGATTGTGACATTGTAAGCTCGGCGTTTGAGCTTGAGATTGACATCGCGACGACGCCAAGTGTCTCATGTTAGTAAATGCAAGGCGAGCATTGGCAATTCGTTGTGAAATTTCATCG